AGGTACAGGACCTTGCATTTGTCTTTATTAAATTTCACACAGTTCTTGTTAGCCCACTCTTCCAGCCTGTCCAGGTGTCTCTGTAAGATGGCTCTCCCTTCTGACATGTCCACCTCAGCAGTCATGAACAGCTTAGGGCCCAGTATTGACCCCTGGGAGACCCCACTTGTGACAGATTGCCAGCCTAAGTGAAGACCATTGATCACCACCCTCCGAGTGTGCCCTGTGAGCCAACTTCTTACCCATCTCGCAGACCACCTATCCAATCTGTATCTTGCCAGTTTGTCTGGTTTGTTTTAATCTAGATCACTACACAGACCTGACTGACAGCACCACAAAAGCCATCAAATTGGCACGACAGAGGCAGGAGTGACATCTGGGCTGGGATGTCAGCCTGCTGCTCAGTCACAGAGAAATCCCAAAATTTTGATTGCTCTAAGTTTATCTCACTGTTTGGAAATGCATTCTGCCAGCTAGGCACTGAAAAGCAAGGCGTGCTGTGACACCAAAGCCTTTCATTGGCTCTAGCTGTAAGTGCCTTGCCAAAAAAAGGACATGGTCAATCATGAGGAAAAGTTGTACAAATGAGCCATGAAGCATATTTTGTGTGGGATTACTGATTGTAAACAAGAATAACAGTGACTGTATGCTACCTGGTATTTGTACAATACTTTGTACAATAAGCCATGGTCTTGTCTTGAAGTTTCCAATGGCCACTCTTACACAAATAACAAATCGTAATACCATGTCTGTCACAACAGTAAGTCAACTATAATGACCATAAACATAACTCAACCTTCACTTTAGCTAAACCCTGTTTCTTTCATGGTTATCTTGTATCCCAGTGCACATTTATTCCCTATTTTGTCTATCTGTTGCCTTACGTTCAAAATGTAAATTACCAGCTTTCTAAAACAGGGATTTTTTTGACTGCCTCACACAAGGGGGCTCTGAATTTTACCTGTGGAGCTTTCTAAGCCTACTGAAATTCAAATGAAAAACAGATAGCTTTCCATCATTCTACATTTTCTTTCTGACTGCTCAGTTCTACCAACTGCTTATCAAATCCAAGCCACATGCAAAGAAAAAAAAAAAAAGACCCAAAATGAAAACTATTTGTGAAGAAAGTCCACAACAGGTGAATAAGATCCTCTTTGACGACAGTTGCTTGGTTCAATGTGTCCAGTCTCAGCTATTTGCAGTAATAAATATAACAAGCACATTCTGTGAGAAGAAACTTGAATTTTGGCCTGTAACACAAGGAAAAGGAGTCAGATTGCCAAGAGGAATTTTGCAAACATGGACTTGTTCTAGTGGCTCTGGTTTGGGCAGCATTTCCAGAGTGGCTGCCTCTTTGACCACAGTTGCTTGGTTCAATGTGTCCAGTCTCAGCTATTTGCAGTAATAAATATAACAAGCACATTCTGTGAGAAGAAACTTGAATTTTGGCCTGTAACACAAGGAAAAGGAGTCAGATTGCCAAGAGGAATTTTGCAAACATGGACTTGTTCTAGTGGCTCTGGTTTGGGCAGCATTTCCAGAGTGGCTGCAGAATGGCCTTCCCATACACAGGACTGTACTGACACTGACAGTTGGGTATGTTGTGACGTCGATGTTGGAGTACGATAGAAGTTAGAAACACATAGAAAATACTGGTTTGCTTTATTAAGTAGCAACCAGAAATGTCAGTATCACATCTTAATTAATGATTAATGTTAGAGGAAGGAGATGCATGCCTGACATATTTTTAAACTGGTATAACAAGTTTTCACAGCACAGAGGGAAGTTCTCTGTAATACATAGCAATGGGCTGTGTACTTGGAACTGTGCACTATAAATTTCCCCACCTTCAGGACAGAATGTGTCAACACACAGTTGCTCTCCTAGAATAAAGTCAGTGCCGGGATTAACAATCGATAATGTTGAAGAATGAGGAAAGAAGAGAAAACATACAAATGATGATCAAAAGGACAAAAAACTCTTTCAGACACACCTGGGGTAGAAAAATGTCGACAGAGCACATTTTTAATGTAAGACTAGACCCGGTATTACAAGGTGCTGAGAGTAAATCAAGAAATAAAGAAAATAACAACACTGTGGAGCTGACAAAGCCCTGGAACTGTAAGATCTTCCTCAAGGTGATGTCCTACTTAGCAAGGAGAGCTTTAGCTCAGGACTGTGAGTTAGCATATATTTACACATAATGCTGTAAGAATACTACATTGAAGTTATCTAACATCCCACATTGATGAATCTCAAAGCACTCTGCATCTGCGTATTGTTCCCATACTGGAAATCAGTAAAGTACATGCTTGCCTTTAAGTATATTCTTGAATTAAATACGTTTCCCAAAGAAAGATGTTTTCCTTAACCAGGGTCTACGTGCTATATGCAGTAGACACCACTCCCACTTTGCTCCTTGATGAAATAAGGCACTTTCCTCTCCCATACTGTTGTGTAACAGATTTTACATGGGACAGTCATATGATCCTGTACCAAGTTGTTGGCAGAGCCAAGAATAAAAAATAGAGGTGGGATTCATCTAGCCTAACATTAGCAAGCTATAAACTAGGCCTCCAGTCAAGAGAGACACGTAGGTCTCCGCTCAGGCTTCACCACTCTACAACCGCTGGAGATGTGTTTCCTCACAATGTGATTTGTCCAACCTGTCTCAAGCCGGTGGAGATACCGTATCTCTCTTGACTGTAGAATGACCAAACAGCTTGGATTAGACACCAGCTTTAAAATAACCAAAAATTACATAAGGTAAATCTCTTTTTGGGATCTCGACCATTTGCTCTCCTCGTAGACACCACTCCTGCAGCTCTGGAGGATGCTCAAGAGAAAGCTGCAGATCAGGAATGGTCTTACCATTTTCCAGCCCTTGCTGACCCACAACGCACAGCTCCTCCTTCCCAGTTCTGTTACACCATTTATTTTGGGTAGGATCGCATCTTTTTGAAACATCTCCATCTTCCATACTTTGAGGTACTCCCTGCTCTAGAAGTATTTCTGCCACCACAGTGTGGGTGAGAAACAATGGTTTCTGAGAATGGCTTTTTACAGTGTCATAAAAGTCAAATCGTTAATTTGATGGCTGCTGCAGCCTTGCACAATGAAGGAGGGAGGGGACACGATTACTTGATAAATACCAGCGAGCATGATGATATATTAGCAATAAGTAAGTACAAATAGGCAATATTTGTTATGGGGCTGTTAAATATATGGGTGGCACAGATTAACCAGGCACACAAACCCCTTTCTTTTCCTCACTCAAGAGGGAGGCTCAGGCAGGGAGCATGCCAGGCCAGTCATTTTTGACCCTCTGTTTTCACCTCTTTTACCCTCAACATTTCCCAGTAGCTCAGCGGAGGGACAAGCCCCACAGACACCAGATCCGACACAATTCATCCCTCACGATCGGGGCCATCCCCACCACCCTGAGGCGCCAGGGCCGGGCAGGGTTTTACCTCAGGGTTCTCAGACGAAGCCGAAGGTATTGCCCTCCCCCTCGCCCACTGCGGGCTGTCACGGCGCCCAGCTCGCCTCCCTCTCCGCGCTCACAGGGTGGCTGTGGAGACCCACGTCCCCCACCCCGCGCACACTGCTGGGGGGGACACCGGGGCCGCTCCTCGGTGGAGCCATCTCAGGCAGCGCTTTGGACGCGGGGACACGCGTTTAAACCGCGCACCGCGCTCTGGGGCGTTATGTGGCAGCACAGCGAAGCCCCTCAGACTAGACCGTACCGCAGGCTGCCGCCCTCGACCGCCTGGGAAAAAAGAGGAAC